GAACAATGACATACAAAGTTTGTTACACGTCTATGTGGATCAGTCAATTCATCAGTCACTTTCTGCAAATTGTTACATCTATTAAACACATTTCGTGCATCAGGATGGTATATCGCGAGGATAGAGTCTTCACTGAGACCGATTTTCAAGTCTTTCAATATTATTTTGATCAGCCACTTTTGTTCCTCAGCAGTATAGTTATGCAGAAAACCCTTGATTACTTTAACAGACTCATCACTAAGACGGAAGAAAACAAGACAACGTTGGAAATTGATACTAATTGAACGGGAATACAAAAAAGACAGGTCAACACGTACAAGTTTGATGCTTCGCTCAATTCACGGAGATTCTCATTAACATAATCAATCGACAGCCCTTTAGACTTTGTTACTACTGATCGAACTATTATGACTTCGGCCGCAATGGAAGCAAAATCGCCAACTGGTTGAACGGGTCCCCGTTTCTATTTGTTGTGTGGACATGTTTATTAAATACAACGAAGCAATTGAAAAAGATGAAAAATTCCCAACATGCTCATAATCATACCTTTCCGGTAAACTTTGGCCTGGTCCAATTAACAAGTCTTTGTGCATCCGGGGAAGACTTTGTCAGTGAGAAAGCCCTAATGTACGCATGCGCCAATCGTGTTTCCTTGAGATCGTATGCCCTTTCGGAATCAAGCTTTTACGCAGAATTAACGCTTGCAAGATCGTGGGGGATTTGAGTCCTTTGAATCAGTAAAACTACTCACGTGAGGCACTAACAGACGCATTGCAGGGTAAAAACTCCCGAATCCAGCTTTTCGCCAATCCTGTATATTGGAATTTGTTGTTACGCGCGCAGTTGGAAATTGTCGAATTTGCGCAGTTATATTCGGTTTACCTCAATGTAGCGTTGCAAATATACTTTCTTATCCGAAGACTTTGCTTGATTAATGCGTCTGAAGCAATTGACTAGCGTGTTAAACGAAGGTGTTCTATTGTTATTAGCAGAATCTTGGTTGTTGTTCATTGTCGTCATGGCGGTGCGGAAGCAGATCAAAGAAGTAATGTAGAAATTAAATGATCTACATAATAATAATTAATTAGTTGATCGTCGCGTCATACCCGATCACCAACGATTAATTAACGAGCAACTCTTTTGGGTTAATATTATTAAGTAAATAATCGAGTAAGTTTTTTTTGATAAATTAACTGGTTAAGTGTTCAAATTTTAGTTAGTTATTTAAACAGCACTATAATAATCATATTCAGACTCGCAAAAGTCGTTCAAGGCTATTATCAATTAAATTTTGACTGCTATCTGATTTTCAAAGATATTTGAACACTTTACTTGTCTTAAGCGTTACTTGTAAATTTAACATAGAACATCGTATTTTTGCTCAGTTTATTAAGAATTAAATCAAACTCACGAATGCAACTACTTGTGTACTATGTTGTACTTATTATATAAGATGCAACTCTACACGACTCTAAACGATGTTGAACAGTATACCAACAAATTATATAGTACTGCCACACGAGCATAACTCAGTCATAAGCTTTTTACAACAAAAGCAAGTCCTCGTCCTCATTACAGTTTGGATTCGTATCTTTATAACTTGTCCTATTTCCAAGCCAAAAATCGGTTTCAGGCAGTCGTCGAAATTATATTATTACAAATTCTCCGAGAACAGCTGAAACTTTGTATAAAAATTCAACAAAATTGTTTGAAGGAATTGTGTATTTTGTTAGTGAAAGAAAGTCGGCGCGATCCTTTTTGGGTGTACTGTACATAATATGTTACACTCTTTTTTAGTGCAACATCATACGCACTACTTACATAAGTGAACGTAATAATAACATCGAAAAGCATGGCCTCAAGTCTCTCTGATGAATGGTTAAGGAAAAATATTGGTGCTTTTTAAAATATAACATACTGTCACAATGTCAGTAACCCTAGTTGAAATTATATACTGTATAAGTCAGTTGTTTCAAGCGGAGCAAATTTAATATAGACGAATAGGTAGACCATAAAATTCCGCATAATTCCCTCCCCAATCATTAATGGAATCCATTTCAAATGAGCGTCATCGGTGAGTTTGTTTGTAATTGGGATTTCTGCACAAAGTCGTCGAGCTGCTAGTCCACCCGTCGGATAATTGTTTATGTCCACAGATGCTCCACACGGGACTTTATCGAAGCATTCCATATGCAGTGCAGAATCCATATCGAAATAACAATGGTAGAAGCGCTCATCACAATATCATTCCCGGTAAATTCTTTTATCAAAGAAGTAAAGCCGTCTTCTGATTTTATGTTGAAGTGATAATATTCACGAACGAAGTGTTGGTGTACATTCTTCTCACTACTTCCAAGTAGCACTAGTATTATTATGTAATAGTTGCGAACGCATGATAGACGTCGTCGATTTGACTTGACTTATTTGAGTAAAGAATTCATTAAAATGACAAGTAAGCTCGTAATGAAGCGCTATCGGCGTATTCGAACACCATGACATATCTCTTTAATGGATTTTTTAATTAAACTACATGTTTAATATCATATTCACAGTTTTACAACAACTTAATCACTCGATCTTGCCTGGAAATGAATAAGTAGACAGTGATGTCCAAACGCGAAGGTCATTATTATAACTTGTACGTACGCTTTTGAATGTTACAAATACCTTTTTATTGAATTTTTATTAACCATACCATTACAATCTTTCTTCGATACTATAAGCCTAGTTATGCAGACTACTGTAGGCGATAATCGGTCAGCGATTCTTTTATGATAGCTACTGTATGTAAACGATCTTGACGGAATCGACATAGTAATAGTGACAGAATTTGCATATTAATATGGCATAAATATAAAGTTCCGGAAATGGCGAAGGATAGCAAGCAAGTGTGTAATAAATTTGATGACCCGACTTTGATAAAAATTATTATTTTTATTTAAATTCTTTCTCTATGTTTTTATTTTTTCTTCTTGAACATAATGCTCTATTATTGGTTTTTATTTTGATAAATTCATACGTCATTGTTCATTTAGATAGTCCTGGATCATTGGTTTAAAAAACGTACATGCAATTTTTTACCTTAATTCTAATAACCTGCTATTTTTTTGATTTATGGTGAATTTAATGTATTAGTATGTTTGATTTCATATTTATAGATAATCCTACGTTACAACTTTGTCAACCAACTTTAAAATTAGTCATATTCTTATTTAAAACAGTAATTTATATAATTTGTGTATAGTAGTATGTGTACAACTGCTTAATCAATGTATTAGTAGTCAGTCACATCAATATCACTTTGGTTTGCTGCAGCATGCCTTATTATTATATAATAATAAACCAGAAAATTCAACCAATTAATGTTCATATGGTCTTTGGTCTTCGTCTTTTTAGTCCGACTACTGGAGAAATTTTGAACTTGCTTCATCTTTGAACAATAGTATCAATTATTCAATACAAACAAAATTAGTAACGTTTTATTTACCTAATACTTATGTGAAGACTGATGGAATAATATATGTCAGTTTTTCTATCAGTATATATATGAACATCATACATAAATGGGTTGTATTTTATCTGACTCAAATCGAACTTGTGAGTCTGATTTAATTCTTAAGTTAGTAAAGTAATACTATATGTGCTCAATAGCTTTGTTTGAATTAATATTAATGTGGGTAAGCTCAGATTTAATTAAAGCTCGAGGCGTAATTTTTGACAAATGTGTATTACATTGACTATACAGTAGGCAAGCACTCTCCCAGCGAAAACAAATTGCCGAAATAAAGCAAATTAGTTGTTTTATATTTAATTGTTAGCGTGTTAGCCTGTTGAAGTTAAATATCATGGGGTTAGTGAGACTAGTTTGGTGCTTTTTTTAAATGCCTAACTAAAAATACTAAAACTTGAACACTGAAATTGCAACTCAACCATGCTTCTCGTGATAATCAGTATTAGCGAAAGTAAAGAGTTTAAATTCGGAACAGCTCATTGTCGTGGACAGCAAATTCACTCACTCGCAGTTTACAATAAAGGCATACACTACAAGAATTTTTTTCTAAATAAAAATATTTGCCATTAAATTTTTCTTTTTTGGTTTGGTTTTTGCTTCAAAATTTCCATTAATTAAATCAATACACACTAACTCTTAACAGTCTTATTAAGTCTGGAAGTAAACCAGATTTATTAATCGATATATACCACAGTTACCTTCAATATAATAATATTGACCATCGTTTCAATACTCGGGTGTTCTATTATTTATAAACGTTTAATTTGTATTTGTGTCCTTGACCTTTAACTATAACTTGCACCAGGTAATTTACCACAAAAGGTTATTCTATTACTTGACCCAGGAATTATAAAATAATAAGTTTTATTCATAATAATAACTTCTCAAATAATTTTTAATACAGTCCAGTTCTGCCCAGACACCACGAAAAATTTGCGCATCTTTTCATACACTTGATTTTGCAAAATAATACATCAAACACACTATCATTGTCACTACATAAACTATTACTATAAATACTCGCTTTCTGAGACTCAATACTAATACAAGACAAACACTAACATTTCATTGCAGATACTTAACTTTGGTCATATTTGAATCAATGCAATGTATACTTACATTGGATTCATTGAAACAAGTGGACTTAAAAATTCTAGCAAATTTCTTAACATATTAATATAAAATGTAACTCTGAAAATTAATGAATCAATTTTAATTTGCTCAGTCAAACAAACTTCTTATTCTCAACCAATAGACTAATTACTGCTGTGGCAATATTATTTCTATTTCTTAACTCAGTGTAGCAACAACTTCTTCTTGATATAGTGTGTAACGAAAATAATTGCCTTCAGAAAAAATGGTGTAACTCAACAATTACTTAAAATAATTAAACAATTTCAGATTTGTTAAAGCTTATCATCTCTTTTATTACTCATAAAATTTTCAGTATGAAATTCTATCCCCATTTTCATTCAAAACAAGTTTACACCTATTTTCCATTGATAGCACCAAATTATTCACTGTCTCGTCTGAGATCGCATCCCATTCCTCAACCATAAACCTTTTCAATTCCTCAATATTTTTTGGCATACGTTTTTCAACGTTGTTTTTTATAATGTGCCACATGTTTTCAATGGGATTCAAGTCTGGGCTATTGAATGGCCATCGAATCCCATTTTCAGCAATGAATTCCTTAGCGACACGTGATGTGTGCTTTGAATCATTGTCTTGTTGTAAACGCCAGTTCCTACCATACATTCTTTGGGCGGCTGGCAAAAGCTGAGTTCGTAATATGTTTACGTAGAATAAGAAAGGGCCATCCATTGTGTTTGTAAAGGCGTTTTGCCCTTTCGCGAAATACCCCCCCCAAGCCATCACCTTTTTGTCGTAATTTTGGCAACCGCCGTATGGGGTTTTCACCATCTTTATGCCATCGACGGACCTTATTTCGAAAGAGATCAAATGCTGTCTCATCAGTGAATATTGTTCGGCACCAATTGTCCCGTAAGTGCACCGACGCCCATATCTTCCGTATCTCAATATGCTGGTTAGTGAACGGAGCTTTTGTAATCTTTTTTTTTTCATATGCCGCCAAATAGCAGCACGTGAAATTAAAATTTCTTGTGTTTGTTGTACCTTTAATGCAAGTTGCCGTGTTGAGACAGCAGAGTTCTTATGCACGTATTGTCCAACGGCGCGAGCGACACTTTGTGTAACCTTCGAAGGACGTCCATTCCCCTTTCTGTGCTCAACGGTTTTCGTATCTTGAATTTTTTTAAGGTTATAAGGTGACAGTACGAAAAAAAATGTTAGTTTTTTGATGTATCTCTTTTACGGATTGGACGCCGCTAAATCAGTAATGGAGAATTGTTTGTCGCTGTGCCTCTAGTCTAGAATTAACCATGATTGTAAAAGGGCGGGAGAGTAAACAATGGGTTGTTCTGAAATTTATATCTTTAAAACACGTTCACTGAATGGTAACTAATTAAAAATAAAGACGCGTTTATGA